CAACCAATGAAAAACGAACAAATTTAAAACTCGGGAAAATTTAATCATCATCTCGTTCTCCACGGATCCATAAGCAAAAGAAATCGGTTCATCCAAACAAACCTGAGACCTAGACCCCCTCCCGGTCCTCATTGACTGGGTCCTAACACGAGTCTAATGGTCTTATTAACAACGGTTACAGACTCCCGAATAATCCACACATGGGATTTCTTCGGTCGTTTGCTCCCTTCACTTAAGCCCTCTCCTCTCGAGATGGCATTGTGAATGGTCTTCACTTGAAGACACTTTATTTTACATCGAGAGGACTGCCACAACAGACCTCAGCTCGATAACATCATATCGAATTTCTAATAAACAAAATCTCAAGTCAGAACTTAACTCTATACCGCTAGAGTTCAAGTCTGTATATACGGAGGTCTACAACTCTTCTAGAGTTCACCATTAAATACTAGAGTTCAATAATGTAGAAGTAGGAGGATAAATTCCTAAGCCCCAATTAAAACCATATTATATCACATCACAAGTAGTTTCATTGCTACTTGTACAAATCCACAATTCACATTATAAGCATTTTCATTGATACTTATATAAACACATACCCTAAGCAGCACGGCATGACGAAGTTGAGTGGTCATAACACAAGTTCTAAATCACACAAGAAAGTAAAATCTTAAAGAAAATCCATGACTTTTTCAAAATCGAGGTAAAATTTTCGAAATTCATTTTTTGATTCATAAACATTTCGGCGTTACTCATTCAATTCAAAACATAGTTCAAGTCATGTCTGAACTAATGGGGATTCATTACCCGGTTTTTCAAAGGTTTTCATTAACCATAATCTCAACAGCATAAACAATAAACATAAACAACATGATATTCATAACCAAATACTCATGTATCAAAGAAAGGTTTTTTCATTCCAACACGTTTTCAGAATAATCAATTCAACACGTTTTCAAAGTCAACCAACCAACATGTTCGGATAAACCAACATAAGTTCATAAAAGCGGAAGCAATTAATAATCATAAGTAAAATAAACCAGACCACCCACTCGCCTTGCCTCGTCATCTGCCAATTGCTTAACCTGCATCCGTGAATAATTTAATCTTAGAAATGAGTTAGGTTGCCGAATGAGTTAGGCTCTGAAATTTTAACCTAAAATCCAACTCACTGGATTCAGTAAATCCACCAATTTCAGCCTCTAATTCAAAATACATGGTTTTATAAAATTCGAAACAATTTTCAGCAAAAACGAGCACAAACTCAAAGACTGACATAATGAATGATTTAATCTTAGAAATTTTTACACAGGATCTCTCAGCATGTGAATACCAACATATAAAAAGTTCAGCTTTAAACACTTAACATGCGAATTATGAAATTGTAACAAGATTCTGCAGATTTTGAATTTTCAACAAAATTGAAGTAATATGAACTCCAAAAATCCTGGGAATTTTTCCACACACATAACATCTTTAAATAAGCATTTCAACCAAAAGTCAGAAATTTACAGCAATGGATCAAATTATCATAATTGAAAAAAGTTTGAACAGAATACTAAAATAAATTATCTACCCTGACAAACGAAGTTAAAAAATTCTGAAAATTTTACACAACATGTAAATATTCCATAGAGACAACATACTCAAGTTTCAGCCCGTTTGGAGCATAAATCCATTTAATATGTAATTTACACTATTCTGCCTAGAAATCAAAATAATTAATTAAAATAGCCACAGTTGGAATTTTAATCTGAAATTTTTACACGATATATATATTCATCACAAGAACTTATACACAAAGTTTCACATCAAACAGATCTGTATGCAATTTATTACGAATTTAATACCAAATCATCGACTAAACGAGTTCATAAATTCATGTATGACTCGAAAAGACTTGAAATTGTTCGAGGCCTTCACCATAAGGCCAAGAACTCATTGTGTTCCAATTCCACAACAACTTAACACGTGTTTAACGTGAATTCGTTTGGTTTCGCACGAAGCGAAGAGATCGATACATAATTTAATAAAAAACAAGGCTCACACTTTCATATCAATATCAACATTGATCATATAATATGTAAACACATAAATACACATCATATATATATCTAAATGGCTAAGATTAAAGCCTCAGTACTGTTCTCGGGAACACGCGAGAAAACGGGTCGAAAGAAACGAACGACACGTCGAAGGCGGCTCGCGGCGGCGGCAATGGGCTCAACGGCTGCGCTTCGTCTTGCGGAGGAGGAGCAGCGGTGTGTTTGGGGTTGCGGCGGAGGCGTTGCTGCGTGAATGGGGTCGCGGCGGAGTTGCTGTTGGCTCACGGCGAGTTACGGCTGAGGAGCTTCTCACGGCGAGGAGGAGTTGTGGAGGTTGCTGCGCGTGAACAGGGGGTCGCTGGAGGAGGGTCGTCGCGGCTGCTGGTTCACGTCGAGGATTCGCGAGCAGGTGGCGATCAAAGTTGCAGAGGCTCGCCGGCTTGCTGTTGGTCGTGGAGGAGGGTTCACGGCGGCGCTGCGCGTGGGGGGAAAGCTTCTGCTGGCAGCGACGTGATGGTGGTGATGGTGAGATGAAGATGCTGATGAGAGGTGATCCAAATTGCTAGAGAGAGGGAGAGAGCGAGGGTGGTTTATCTGATGAAAGAGATCACGGGGAAATTTTCTCTTCTCTGCTTGAGATCGGGTTTTAACGAGAGAAGTAAAAGAGAGCAGATTTGGAGAATGATGCGCGATGCGTGTACTGAGTTTTTTAGCGAGAGAGAGAGAGCTTAATTAAACTAGGTTTAATAAGTCCTGGAGAGCAAGAAAATAAAACACACGCACAAGGGGAAACCGAGTCGGAAAGGGAGAATCCGGTTCGTTGAGCCGGGGCGCGCGGTTTCCTTCGGTCCGATTCATGTGCGGCTCGGTCTTGCTATTTTACGGGCTCACCGTAGCCCAGAAATATCTCGGTTCGCTCGCTCGACAATTTAAATAAAATTGAGACAATATTTATATACAATACATATTACATACATTAATTTATTTAAATAATACTAATATGCAATTAGACAAATAATGACATTTAGACATTCATTTAATAATAATAATAATGATAATAATAATAATAATAATCCCAAAATAATTCGTAAACAACGAGTTTACAAATCGGCCGGTTTCGACTACCGGTTTACCGGGCTCAATTTCATAAAATACGAACATATATAACGCTCGGAAAAATAAATAAAATAACAATATTAATAATGCCGAAAAATCCATTATTCAAACTGATTATATTCGGTTCAAGCAATTAAACCGAAATCGCCAAACGACGAACGTTTTTCAATAAAACGATCAAGTACTCCAACCTTTTATTTAATTCGACATCGCGACCAACAAAATAAATATAACCTTATAAATAATATTCGATAAATAGAATAATCCGAGAAATTCTATAAATCGAACGAGGCGCTACATTAGTTGTCAACGGTCAACGCCGGAGTCAACGTCAAAAGTCAACGGCCAACGCCGGAAGTCAACGGTCAACGCCGGAGTCAACGGGTCAAAATAATATTTAAATAATTAAAATAATAAAAAGAAAAGAGTAAACCTTGGCCACGCATGATGTACCAAATCTTGTGTCTAAAAATGAGTCTCACGTCCTCACTTTAAATAAGTAGATGCATTGGAACCAATACATATATATATATATATATATATATATATATGTTATTATTAATTCATATCTCTTTTTTCCTCTCTTTTTTTTCTCAATGTTCTCAATGCAATTTCTAATCAAAAAATTTACTTGTTACCAGATATTTCTGATAAAATTCACTACTTGTCTATCGATATAATTATAATTATNCTACACCCCGTAAGGGTGGGGTTAAGACCAGACCCCCAAACCTGTATATAAAAAAAGACCCACAAACGGGCTAAAAAGTCACAAGTCTACATGAAGTCTAATGTCCAAACAACATCATGCCAAATAAATGAGATCAAACAAAGAAACAAGAAAAAAGGGACTACAATGGAAAATAACACGAAAAGATCCGATCCTGGTTCGGAAAGTGTCCAAGAGAAGGGTCTGCATCACTATAGGGCAGAAGCACCGAAATGTAGAACCGACTGCCCAAATCTGAAAGATGGGTATCTCAACTAGTCCATCCGTATAAGGGTAGTGAAACAGAGAGGAATATCGTCAGGATGAAGGATGCGTCTCTAGGGGTGGAGGTTCCGAAAACTTTGGACCATGTCTCGATTTAAGCGGTGCCATCTTTGTGCAGGGGCCATGCTAATCTTCTCTATATCATTCCAATTTTATCGGATGTCCCCGAAGAGACAACTTATGAGCTGTTGTTAACTATAAAAAAGTCACATTTTTATTATCAAGTCTAGCCACCATGTTATTGGTACACACGTACGTGGAACAATGAAGATAGCATATTGTTTTCGGTCTTCCAATTATTATGTATATTAATTTTATATTATATTTTTCTTATCGCATATGGTATTTATGCATGTTTTATATAAATTAATTAATATTTTACAAGTTGATTTACTAAACAATAATTTCAAATCATGTGTGTAATTTTCTATGTATGACATGAGAGGAACTGCAAATAGACTAAATTACATGGTTGAGAGAAGTATATTTGAATGACAATCAGGTAAGAGCAGCTTTCAATATGAAAAACTGGTGAACACTTGTTTTTATTGTGCAATTATTGGCCATCTAGAAAAGGGATGTGAGAAAAGAATTGTAGATATTGTTAAAGGGGAACTTAAAGAGGGCCAATATGGGGAATGGTTAAGGGCTGTGGATGCCTATGTAGGGGGTAGGTTCAGTTCAAGATTTAGTCCTGGAAGTCAATCTACGGATTCTCCTACCAAAGAGCAGCAATCTGGCAAAGGGCTCAGGTTGAAGAACCTGGATACAAATCTACTGGGAGTGGAGTTCAAACACAAACAAGCAAGATTATTAGTTTAGCAGGTAATACAAAACCCTTGGCAATGGCTCTCAAGAAAAATGAAGGGGCACAAGACAATTTCTGGTCTTTGATACCAACCTCTATTCACAATGGTAGTGTTAATTTGCCAGCAGAGGGCCAACCTCAATTGATGGACATGTTATTTGGACCAACACAAAGTGATCTTCAAGTGGCAGAGGAGATCTCAACTGTAGCAGGAACTCACAAAAGGAAAGAGTGAAGGAGGAAAGCCAGTGGAGCAGGAAGTTTGTATAAGGCCTCTGCTTCTGACAGTCAAAACCAAGGGGATCTGATACCAAGAAGGAGGAAAAGAAACTTAGCCATTGATTTAGCAGAGGAAGAAAAAGGTTGTATGGTGACCAGAGGTAGCAAAAAGCTGAAAAATAACTTGTCAGAGGTGGGGGTGGCCAACCCTGAGTGACCCCCAGTGGATTAATGAAGCTTATTATATGGAACTGTAGAGGGCTGGGTGGACCCTCTACAGTTGTCCAAATCAAGAAGTCAACCAGACTTCACCACCCAAATTTTTGTCTTTTTATCAGAAACAAAAAAAAAAAAAAAAAAAAAATCAGTTTGTTAAATCTGTGTTTAAGAAGATATGATTTAGGGGGAGATGGTTTGCAGTTGAACTTAAAGGTTTGAGTGGGTGATTGCTTGTTTTGTGGGGTAGGGAAGTTATAGTTATGCAGTTATTAAGTAACCATTTTTGTATTCAGTTAGAAGTAGAAGGTATTGGGGAGAATGGGCCTGTTGGGATTGTTTTTATCTATGGTAGTTCATATAGGAATGAGAGAGTTTTGCAATGGGAATTTCTACAGTCTGCTAGTAGAACTTGGGGTAGTAAGTGGATTGTGGGAGGGGATTGGAATGAGATATGTGATCCAGTGAAAAAAAAGAATGGAGGAAAAAGTCTGAGGGGGAATTTAGGGGTTTTAATGATTTATATATTTTCCATTATCTGGGCATAATTTAACATGGGGAAATAATAGAGAGGTCGAGGGTTTCATTAAAGAAAAAATTGACAAAATTGTTGCCTCTTTTGGCTAGCTTGAAGATCATCAAAATGTGGAAGTCAATAATATCTTCTGAAGTTCTTCTAATCACAGACTTTTGGCTCTGAATAATGAACCAGATAGACCAGAGCATAAGGCCAAAAGGTCCTTTTTTCAACAAAAGATGGGTGCAAAGGGCTGGTGTAAAGGAAGTGATTAAGGAGGGGTGGCAGACTGAGCAAAGTGTAACCCCCATGTATCAAGTTTCAGAAAAGATCAAAGCTACAAGGATGGCCTTATTCAAATGGAGTGCATTATTCAGAAGAAAGCAAATCCAGAAGAAGAATGAGATCAATTCCACTCAGGACATGATGAGCAGAATGGGTGCAGATAGAGATTGGGTGGAATGGGGAAGACTGAGAAGAGAACTGGATATGGTGACCAAAGATGAAGAAGAGTATTTGGCTCAGAAATCAAGAATCCAGTGGGTCAAAGAAGGAGACTCCAACACCAAATATTTTCATGCATTAAACCTACAAAGGAAGAAGCTCAATGCCATCACCAGGCTAGTGGATGACAATAATCAATTACTGGACAAGAAGGAAGATGTTAAAAACCATTATGTTCTTATTATGAGAAATTGTTTAAGACATAAGGTTAAAGAGGGGAGGCTGACATCTTGCACTTAATCCTAACTTCTATATCCTCAGAGATGAATGAATCCCTCATTGCCCCTCGTAAGGTTTGAAGATTGGCAGTAAATCAGCGAACTTTCATCTATCCCCAAGTTCAGACTGCTCGAGTGCATGTTTTATTTATGCAGGTAAAATCAGATATCCATTAGATGCGCTTTCCTTGTAAAGAATTCAACAGCTGATTTGGACCTTCCAAAAGTTGAGTCGGCAGAATCAATCAAGAAATTTCCTTATGTGACGTGACTTGGCGGTGACGACTTGGTTGAAAATTTACCATATGTGAAACAAGATAAAAGAATGGTGATGCACTTGATGGAAGTATATTTTTGATCATTTTTTACTCACGTGTATAATTCCTAAAAACGAAAAAGTGCATTCTTGTAGAAGTGAGTTTTTATTGAGTGAAAAAGACAATCTTGAGGAGTTTATTGTGAGGCATAGATACAAAGTGATTAGAGGTTTATTTTGTTTTAGTTTGAGGGACTCAAACGAGAAAACCACAAGGGATTTGTGGTGGGATAAGTAGTGGTATAGATTTGTAACGCCCCACTTTGATTTAAAGAAAATCTATGGCTTCTCAATAAAATCAGTTTAATTTTTCAAAATTTATTTCAAAACACTTGTGGAGTTACTCACTTAATTCAACATCAATCATCATTTCATAACATCAATCATAAATTCCAACTCCCAAAACGGGTTCATAAAATCATCATTTACCCAAATCGGGTCTTCATGAAATTTTCACAGTGTCGTGGGGCAACTCCCCAACATTATTCATAAATTCTCAGAGTTCGTAAAACCATAATATCGTAAATAATTTCACAGATAGCGGAAGCAATAAACAAAAGTTTGGTTATATAGACCGACCACCACTCGCTTCTCTCCGCGCCATGCATGCCCTGCTTAACCTGAAATGTTAATTTTAGGTGGGAGTGAGCACATATGAAAAAACGAGGTGCTTACCACTATGCAATAATTACAATAATATCAACAGGTACGATCGTAGCATGTATATGAATCAATCAAGTATTCCAAATTTTCATCATAAATTTACAGTGTTCAGACTCATGTGCACACCTACGCATAGACTACTGCCGGTAGACATACCGATGACCTTCGCTCAGGTCATACATCGAATGCCCTATGGGCTTTACGTCTATGCCCGTTGGGCTTATACACCGAATGCCCCATGGGCTTCTATCGATGCCAAGTCAATAGGAGTAATCCCTCGGGTTTATTTTATAACCACGGAATAACCATTCGACGGTCGATACAGCTCACATCGAAGGCTGCATGGTTCACATGCATACATTGATCATACCACACGAAAGGCAACAATTTATTGCATAGTAAATTTCAAATAAAACCCACCTGGTTGGAAGCAAATGATATCAAGAAAATATGAGTAGGTAGAGAGCTCGACTCATCAAACACCTACAATAATTAAGAGGGCCCTATCAATAACTATTCGACACATGCACTAACTAACACATGGCATTTACGATTCATATAATAAATAGTTAGATCAATTCAGCCCATATAAGTCATATAAGCAAGCATTAAAAAAGAAAATTTTATTTTCGAAAGCACCACATGAATTTTCAAAACATAACCCGCGCAGCGATTTTGAAATCGACACCACTTGCAGCATATAAATCATATTAAGTTGATTCCAGTTGCATATGAATCCTAAGACATGCCTCTAGAATTCTTATGAAGACATCAAGAAAAAATAAAGTCATCTACCTAAAGATTATCATCAAACACTTGAAACAGAGTTGCAGTTAAAAAATCTGGAAACATACGGCTGACAGGACCTCAGCATTTGCAAGATAAATGAAGCCACAAACATGCTTTCAAGAAGATTCAAAAACCAAAATGCAGCTAACTCAAATATCTACAACTTTGCTGAAGACCCTATTGGACACATAATGATTTTATCGCTGGGTGTAAACACAAAACATTCAGTTTATAAATTCTGCCCGAAACCAAATCATGATACAAACAACACATCGGTTATTAGAATCTAACTCATGCTACAGACCTTCAAATGATATGATTAAAAAACCAATAGACAGTCAAGAAGCAAAGCTACAATTTTCATGTATATCACTTTTCAGTTTGAACACATATACAGATCGAAAACAAGCCATACATAAAATATTACAAGCTCCCCAGTTTTGTTAAAAACTGCTTGCGCGACAATTTTGTAAAAATCATAACTCCCTCGTTTCAAATCGTATTTTCAAAATTCAAAAACTCACATAAAGACAACAGGATAAGATCTATTTCTCTTGAATATCACATTTTCATAAAACGAGTATGTCAGAGCCATTACAGCAGCACAACAGAGGCCATAAGAATCACGATCATCATCACACGTGATATACAAACCTCATGATTTCACAAAACACCATTTAAACATCACCAACTTCATCATATCTCATGTATAACATGAATTCAACAGTAAACCTCAAAGACCACATATATATCCTATGAATCTGAACAACTCTAACATGATATAAATGAGACCCGAACATAAAATCATGAGAGAATTTTCACATATACATATATACTCGAATAAAAAAATAAGGTTCAATCCATCGATACCATTCTCGGAAAAGACACTTAAAAACGAGTCGAAAGAGGGTTGTTCGGGAGTCGGGAGCATGCACGTCGGGCTCGACAGCATTGCTTGGCTCGCCGGTTCGCGTGGAGGAGCAGCGACGAGATGCTCGCGGTGGCCTGAACGCGCAACAGGGGCGGAGCTGCGGTGGTCGGAAGGTGCTGCGACTGGTGAGAACTCGCCGGAGGAGGGAGGGCGCTGCAGCGGCGGGATCACGGTGGCCTGTGGGTCATCGTTCACCAGTTCTTCTCGTGGAGGAGCAGCGGATGGCGCGTGGAGGAGTGGCGCGGGGAATCTGGAATCGCCGGCAGTTTTGAACTTCGAGATGGGGCGCGGTGGTGATGAGGATCTCCTGCTGGTCATCGATTGCAAGATAGTGGCTGGTACTCCTTGTCGTGTTGTGTTCTAAAGAGAGAGAACGCCGGTGGGAGAGGGTGGTGGTGGCGAGCGATCGGTTTATAGTGAGAGAGGAGGGAATTCTCTTTTCTTACGCGAAGGAATAGAACGACGTGAGAGAGAGAGAGATAGATTTCTCTTATTCTTCTGTGAGCGAGCGAGAGAGATTGGGAGATTGCGGCGTGTGAGTTATCGGAGAAAGAAGAGAGCGGGGAAAACTATACTTAGGTATATTAGGGCAACATAAAATCTTTCCACGCAAGAAAAGAAAAAGGCGAGTCAGGCGGTTCGGGCGAGGCAGGTCGGCTTTCCTCTTGAGCTCGACTACATAATTAAAAGCTCGATTCGATTGCAAGACGTCCAGAAATAAATAAAAATAAAATACGACATCCAGAATAATTAAAATAACTTATCCGACAATATATATACTATCACATATAATCCACACAATAATATCACATAGCCATTTAATTCAAATAAATAATATTTATGCCAATAAAGCAATATTTGAAAATTTCAATAATCGAACGGCTTAAATTTGAATTACGTGATTAAACCAAAATCTCCGAACTACGAACGTTTTAAAATAAAGCGATCGAGTACTTCAACATAAAATTTAAGTCGACATCGCGACTAATACAATAAATATAACCTTATAAATAAAATGCGATAAATAGAATAATCCAAGAAATTTTATAAATGGAACAGGGCGCTACAATCTATCCTGCTTAAAAGATTTTCGTCCTCGGAAATACGAAAGAACACGCATCCAAAAGAAAACCACAGACTCGAAAGGCATATACTCCCATACATGAACCAATCCAACTCGCCACATATGTTTGCCTTCATGCGTGGGAGGGTGATCACTCCTACCCGAGCTCAGGTGTACATCCTCTTGCAAGGGCCGCAGTCCGGCTTGGCCTATACCCATGGGTATCAACAATTTTCTTAGTACCTAACAACACACAAGACCTCAACAGGTCATTCGGTGTATTGCTAGCGTACTCCGACTGCCTCACCTTCAAGGTGGGCACGTGACGCCAAGCTTCAGTCTTATGTCTGAGTCACCCTGATAACTTGTTCTCGATTTCATCACGGTCCGTGCGTCTCAATTAGAGACTTCGATACGGTATCACATGTAGACAACATATGGTCATACTCTCAAGATATCGACTCCACGAGTCGAACGTAGCCTTTATGCGCAACATAAGGCTCTGTCGGATAACAACACGAACTTCCCAATTTTCTTACTCGAGAAACTCTCAAGTAAGGCATAGGAACTCTTCAACTACATCCCTTAATCAGAAATCATAGATTAAGGATCTATACACAATATAGTGGAACTTGGAGCTCTCGGTTCAAGGTTCGAACGAAAAGGGTTAAAAAAGATAACCAAATATTCCATCATAAGACGGTTTCAACAGTTCGGGAAAGACGTCGATGGTTCGGGGTTGGTGCACTATCACCCAAGAGACGGCACACCCGCTGGCGTTGCATAAGCGGGGCGCTAGGACGCGCGCGTACACACCTAATCGGAGACCAGCTGCAAGGTCGAGGTTTGGCCGCATACGCATGGCTCGGGGAGTTCGTGCGCTCGTTGATGATGGTTGCAGCTTTCGTGCAAGTCAACGATCAGCCCAAGGTTGGCCTCACGTCTCTCAGCACTGGCATGCGTTCTTAGCCACCACTTCGCATGGCTACACCCGGTCAGGGTCGGCTTTTGGTCCAAGGTTCCGCAAGGAATTTACAATCCGTGACAATCCAAGAAAATCTAAAAAGGAATTGGTTTTACCAAATTTAGAAAACTTTTGGGTTTGACAAAACAATATATATTTCAAGCATTCCACAATTTTCAAAAGTTCAAGGGTTTCAGAAATAGCAAGGTGCAAGTCCGAGTTCCAAGTACACTTTCTTTCCTAACGACACATTCTAATACGCGCAGAGATCAACGATTGAGATAGACGAGAATTCTCAAAGAAATTCTAATATGGTTATTCAGTCGGGAATAATCTCAAATCAGTAGCTCATGCCGAGAGACACAATAACTTGCTCGCCTTGACTCTTCCGACAAACAGTATCGGCCATGACGTCAGCTCTTACATAAGTAGCTAATTGTGCCAGCAGTCCTAAACGAGCGCAACTCATTTTTTTATTTTTTATTTTCACTTTGTAATCTTCTCACTTCGAAATTCAAGCGGGAAGTTCCTCCAATTGAAATGACTCTATTCGCATCTTCAGATGTTCTTGCTACCTCCTGGTATTCTCAGGAATATGCCGAGAAGTTATCGGCGAAAAGTACAGCGACTAGGCAATTCATGGCAGTCATCAGCGCGTGGCTTAGCCCGAAAGGCATCACTACACAATAACGGTACTCTTGTCAGGTTCCATTGGTTGTCTTAACAACATCTTGAAATTAAATTAGGATATTATTGATAAGGGCGATGACATACTGTCCCTGATAGGAATGGAATACTCGGTTTATTAGGTCCACGGAAACGAAGGTGGATCACTCAGTCCAAAAGTCACAGCCACAACTTGAAGAATCGATATAAGACAATTGGGAAAAAATACTTGTCTTAATTCATACACAAAGTTACACCACTTGAACCCAAAAATAAAAACAAATGTTTGCAAGGGGTCACAAAAGTCTCAAGGCCACAAAAGATTTCTCCCGAAACTCCGAAAGGAGTGGAAGAACAGGAGTTTCTACGATGGACAAAATTCAAAACAAAGACGGTTCTGCAACTCACGATGTGCTTGCTCTGGACTCGACTATCCTCCTTAAAAGATTTCTGCATAATCTTTTGAGGTGGAAAGAAATACTCCTTGATATACGTCAAATCACTTCATCTTTATTATCGAACTAATTTGTGTTGGCTTCTGCTTCTGTTTGTTCATCTCGACACCGTGCATGAATAATTATTATTGTCTTCCTCGAAGGTAAGTTACCTTCGAGAGTGGCGACTGAAAATCGTGCCCTCGAGTTTTTGTGATAACTTAATGATGACATCCAGACGAAAATCACATACTTCGCAAATGAATAAAGACAAGCAGAAACAAAAAGGTGCTTAATCTCATTTGCAATCAGGTCTTCCAAAACAAATTCAATACACAACATAAGATAAATAAGAATTGGCTAAACTTCAAAAGGAATGAAACTTAGGGTTGGGAAACTTGAAAGTTTGCTTACATAGTGAAATCAAGGTAGGGGTTTGAACACGGCTATACCCTAAACTAAATGAGAAGGAGAACAAGGTCGATCGTAAACCTCTGGTGTCTATGATTCGCCGCCTATCTCAAGGCTATTGTATTCCCACGAACTGCAACGTTACTCGCTCTCTTGAACTTTTTACATCAAGCTAGAGGTATCCCGAAACAAGCTTCAAAAGATAAGGATCAATAGAAAATTGAAATTTCGATGCTTAATTCCATCTGAAATTTTTTTATGCTCGGAAGGGGGAAGATCAAGCGAAATTCCCAAAGTACGAAAATTGGATAACAAAAAGAAGCCTCAAGCACAATTCAAAATCGTTTGTCATGCGAATGGGAAAAGCTTGCAAGAATCCTCAAGAAGACAAAAATTTAAGAAAGGAAACAAGACAGCTTCGCCTTCACGAGTCCACGATTCACTGCATATATCATCAGTCCAAGCTGTTCCCGGTACGTCCCGCTGTCGCTCGGAATTCGCTCGCGGCTCAATATAAGGAAGAGAATTTCGATGTCTTTTTCAAGACATAAATGTCACTCGAAATTTTGGCCTAAAATATTCACGCGGTGCCGGATCGGTCTATCCGCCTTAAGAACAAGGTCGGATTCCTTCGTTTGAGAATTTTCGCAAAAGAATATGTCACTATCGCCTTTCTCGAGGCTTATCCAATCTCGAGCGTCGCGACAGTGATACATATTAAGTTCTCTCACCACTCATCGTGGTCGAACAACAGCGTGGACAAGGCACCTAGACTCTCTTCCCAGTTCGCATTCGACTGGGTTCTGACACGCTACTGACAACGGTTACAGACTTCCGAATAACCCATGCACCTGGGGACTTCTTCGGTGGTCTACTCCCTTTACTGAAACCTTCTTCTTTCGAGATGGCTTGCGAGTGGTCCTCGCTCGAAGACCCTAAATTTGCATCGAGAGGACTGCTACAACAGAACACAACTCGATGACATCCTACCGAATTTTCTTAACACATAAATTCTGAAATCAGAACTTAATTCTATATCGCTAGAGTTCAAGTTCATGCAACTAAGTTCGCCACTCGTCTAGACTTCAAGAACGTTTAAAAGCAGGAGGATAAATTCCTAAGCCCGGTTTACATCTCATAATATCGTAATACTTCACATAAGCAATTCAATATTACTCATGTATTCATACCTGAGTTGGCGCGGCAGGACGGAAGCGAGTGGTCATAACTACATCGTTGTATTCAATTATTTCTCAGAGTTCACAGAATTCACGTATAGCAGTCTACAGAAACGTAGACTTGCTCTCATACCACACTGTAACGCCCCACTTTGATTTAACGAAAATCCATGGCTTCTCAGAAAAATCAGTTTAATTTTTCAAAATTTATTTCAAAAACACTTGTGGCGTTACTCACATAATTCAACATCAATCATCATTTCATAACATCAATCATAAAATCCAACTCCCAAAACGGGTTCATAAAATCATCATTTACTCAAACCAGGTCTTCATAAAATTTTTACAGTGTCGTCGGGCAATTCCCCTACATTATTCATAAATTCTCAGAGTTCGTAAAATCATAATATCGTAAATCAGTTCATAGATAACGGAAGCAATAAACAAAAGTCTGGTCATATAGACCGACCACCACTTGCTTCCCTCTGTCGTCATGCGTGCCCTGCTTAACCTGAAATGTTAATTTCAGGTGGGAGTGAGCACATATGGAAAAACGAGGTGCTCACCACTATAAAATAATCACAATAATATCAACAGGTACGATCGTAGCATGTATATGAATCAATCAAGTATCCCAAATTTTCACCATAAATTCACAGTGTTCAGACTCATATGCACACCTACGCATAAACTACTGCCGGTAGATGTACCGATGGCCTTCGCTCAGGTCATACATCGAATG